GAGGTGGAGAACTATGAAGACTCACCTGGATAGAAATTTTAACATTACTGAGATTTAGCACTTTAGTCTGGCAACCCAGGTTTTCTGTACATTCTTTAATGTACGCAATACATGGGAAAGACAGTTAATGATGGCAGCTTTGCCTGATCTAGTCACTTATTTATTACCCTGTTTAATTCCTACATCACCTTTCCCACATGATCTAGTCACTTATTTATTACCCTGTTTGTTTAATCCCTACATCACCTTTCCCACAACGACATCTACATGGTACCCATGACCCATCTCTTCCCTACTTTACACTCAAAAGAAAAGAGTAGGGTTGATAAGTCTGAGGAGTGTGGCTAGTGTACGTTTCATGCATGAGTAGGGATTTGAATCCAAATCTTGCAAGTACATATTCTTGGACTAAAACTCCCAGAATCCTTCACCATCAGCCATGCTGGCCAGGATTTCTGGGAATTGTAGTCTGAGAAGATCTGGGGACCCAAGGCTGAGAAGCACGGCTGTAAGCACTACATCATATGGGGGAGCAAGGGGGAAAAATATGGTTTTATCCCATCACTGGTCAGCAGCTAGAAACCAGTCTCTGTGCGTAGGTACAGTATCTGAGAGAAAGAATATATATTGCAGCTTTCTGGTTTTCACCTCAGAATCAAAACAGCCCTTACTGTCTCCGATGCAGTAATTCAGCAGCCAAAGGTCTCGTCCACTTACAGCAGAATCCATGACTAAAACCAAATGGCGCGAATCAAGAGTGCTAGCGAGCGTATGCGAGAGGCTGCACACTTTTAAAAGAAAGCCAAACAAGGTGAGGCTATAAGGCACACTTTGCATCTCTAGCAGAGAGGCAGCACTTCAGACAAGCTTTAGAGGGACAGAACTGACGTATTTTACAGCTTCCACTCTCAAATGTCTATCCGTCAAAGCCTCAACGAAAATTAAATGCCACCGGGAGCATAAACTGGAACTTGCCTGGAAGTTTATGGGTGAGCGGTGGAAATATGCAAAGTGCTAAAGGACTTGTTTGTTCTAATTGCACTGAACCTGCTCCATGCGCTAAGCAAGGGAGATAAGCCTCACATGCTTGGTGCCTTTCAGACACTCTGAGTTAATGATATGCACACAAACAGCCCTGGCTTTGCAGCTTACTGGAGCGCAGACCTGGTGAAGGAGCCTGCTGGAAGCATGAGAAGCAAACCTTCACATCCTTGTTCAGCCGCAGATTGCACTGGCTGGCAGAGGAAGAGGTCCTTCCGTCATCGCTGCCTACTGCCCCCATCTTTAAACATTTATAGGAATGATGTGTCTCGTAGGTTGCGAAGCAGGACATGAACTGGGCTTTGGAGAACAGGAAGGATGCGGCAAAGCCCAAATACGTGATATACTACACTGCAAATAGTAGGGATAGTAATGGCCCACAAAGGTCTTGTTCGCACGTAATATTCAACCAAGATAAAGCATGATGAGAAGCAGCCAAAGAGTCTGCTTCGGTCATGTGTTTCTCCCGCTTCGCTCTTCAGCTGGTACAGGTACATGGAGGCAGGAAGCTTTCACTCCTCTTTGAGATGAACTGCACTTAGACTGGAACAATGGTTTGTTCCAAAGAGGCCAACTTCAAATCATAGTTTGGGGAGCGAGGTATATGGTGTACTAAAAGAACATTTATCTGAACCCAAAACGTCCGATCTTCACCACACCAAAGGAGGAGAATGAAGAGAAAATTAGTGATTCTAAGACTGTTTCAGGGGAAATCATGACCTTTGTGAAGGGGGGCTGCCCCTGTTACACCTTACTCGGACCACGAGTAGTGCTTTGGGTTTTAACTCATGACAGGGGTTCAGTGTTTCTGCCTTAGATGATCTGCTGGAAGTAAAACACTCATTTTTTAACTTTCAACCTACCAGTTACTGTATTAAAAGTGTGAGTCCATCATAGCGGGGGGGGGGGACACTTATTTCTGCAAGAAGAAAATTTATAGATTTACAGGTGTTCTGTTAGAAAAAGGCAAAAGAAACAGGTAAATATTCAAAGTTATTGCTAGAGACTGAAATCCTGTTGGTGCAGCCATGCTCACAGAAAGCTGATGATGTCATCAGCAGAAGGAATTTTTTAGAATGTTCTTCACTCTGCGCTGAGACTCCCATGGTTAGCTCATAATCTCGTTCATTGCATGGAAGCCATGGAAGCACCAGGGTGGGAAGAGGAAGTCTTTAATGACTGAGGATCTCGGCTGCTGAGAGATTTTACCCACTGGTAAAACATGTGTACCATTGGTTGAGAAGCTTCTAATACAGACAGCTTTGGTGAAAGAGATATTGTAAGTCTACACCCATCTGAGTATGCTGCTGATCCTTTTACGTTTGAATTATGATTCTATCATCTTCACAGCATGTGCATATGCTACACATATATGTCCAACTGCTAGGTTGCACAATAGTTACGCTGGCTGCTACCCAAACTCCAGTTCTAATCCAAATGAGAGCTGAAGGAAGCAGTAGGAGAAGATGAAATTCAAACAAAAGAGTCTCCAAGCATAGCTGAGCAAAACAAACCCCTCTGCACCTGTCCTGCACTTCAGGCCTCATATTAAGTGTTACAGGGCTGAGAATTCAATCTGGCCTGCGAACATTAGCTGAGTTCCACAGAGACTGCAGGAGATGGGCCTTCACAGGTTCTAGTGTTTACATGTTGTGGTGCGGGACTAATGCCTTCCAACAACACCAAGATGGCTCATGGAGGGGACATCTTCGTTTTGCCGAAACCCTGCTAATGGAATCTTTTCATAGCTTTGGACCAAAAGCCTAACAATCAAGAAAGCCATTGAACTCTTAACACCATGGTAAAATGAACACACAGGCTTCAAAATGCCTTCTACAGTGTGGGAAACATGGTTGTTGTTTTTTTACTGGTATAAAACTCACTATGTGGGATACACAACAGAAGACTGACTTTGTTAATATCTTGGTCTGGGCGTTTGGAGGTGGCCAAACAGCTGTAATGCTGCCAGGAAAACAATTTCCTGAAACAAAACAATGCCTTTAATACCTGTATCCCAAACTGAAATCCTATTATCATGCTTGTAGGTGCTTTCCCTGCTTTGGAAAGAACAGAAGTATTCCTATTGCTTATTACCTGGGACAGCAAAGTCAACCAGCTGCCCACCTTGTCCTAACTAAGACTTTATTGTTTGCAAAGAGAGAGGATAAGTGAACACCCAAAGGGCAAGTGGTCAAAGGACAAGAATAAAGGCCCTCCATTTTCCCCAGGAACACAACATCTAAGCCACAAAGAATAAATATTTATACATTTCCTTAAGTAAGTGAGCCATAAAATGGGCCTTTAAGAAGGAAAGGCTTGTGAATCTACAATGTATTAGCATAACAAAAAAATCCACGCTTCTGAAAGGATGGGGTGGGGATAGTAGTTTGAGATTAACCCATTCTTTGGCTAAAATAAACAGGATTCAATTTCTATGCTTCTATTCCATCTATTCTCCATATGCCAAAGAAAAGGGGGGGGGGAGAAACTCCTCTGGTTTGCTAGCTCAGTAAAAATACAAATAATATACAAATAGGTTAGCACTGCGAAATTGTTTGCTCAAGGAAAACAGTCAATGAAAGGACTTCCTAACATTTGCAGATCTGTTTGAATTCTTCAGTGAAGTGAATTAATGCAAAACTCAGGCTGAGCCCAGGCACAGCCCTGAACACCGGCTTGGGTTTTTTTTGCAACCAGGAACACTCCTGCGATAACAAAATGATCCCAGTATCTGAGAAGGAGCAGGGAATTAGATAACCCCGTTTCCCCGAAAATAAGACCTAACCTGAAAAATAAGCCCTAGTAGGATTCTTCAGGATGCTCGTCATATACGCCCTACCCCAAAAATAAGCCCCAGTGAAGTGACACCCTGCCCTCCACCCTTGTGCAGCAACCAGAAGATGATGACAGGACTGCATTTGAATCAATGTAGATGGTTGTACATGGAAAAATAAAAATAAAACATCCCCTGAAAATAAGCCCTAATGCATTTTTGGAGCAAAAATTAATATAAGACCATGTCTTATTTTCGGTGAAACACGGTAGTGCCACCCCCAACTGTGAGCAGCTTTAGGCACACAGCACTGTTACCATGGGGATGTCACCCAAAACAGCCCCCCTGTGGATCAGTGGCCGTCATTCTGAGGAGGTCTACAAGAGGAGTCGACCACCCCCAGGACCTGTCTCTTTCGGATTCCAGCTTTTCCCCCAGAATCCAAGAACAGATACAAGGAGATGATTTGTTGACAGACGCTTCCTCATAAGATATCTCCAATGCACACGGAGGGGTGGCAAGAGGGGTGCATTATGCACTGGCTGTTTTTTTGTGGGGGCGAGGTAGGGATCACAAAATCCAACCCTCCACCCTCCAAGATCAAACCAGAAGTGAGTGTCCAATCATTTCCAGTTCTTATGTTTTTTCTCCTACAAACATTCCCAAAAATCTTCTACAGTACAATTCTCCAAAAGTGCTGGGATTGAAAATGTTGTCCCCCAGCCTCATCCCTGTGACCCCTGTTTTCTAGGTTGGTACGAAAAGCCAAAAAGGAGGAAAGTACCCTCCAGCTAGAAGGGAGAATCCCGCCCCCTATCCGCACAACAAACTTCCCAGGCATGCAGGAAAATGAGGCCACCATACTTTGGTACCAAGGTGGGGTGGGGTGTTCTGTATTCCTTGATCAGCACGCTCTCCTTGTACTTTCTTAGGTTAATGCTGATCAATGGCTTTGATGAGCTGCTTTGAATCTCATCAAGAAAAAGAAAGAGGGAGAAATTCCTCGTCTATAAGGGCGCTCAAATGACACCTGTTATCAACCACAACAAAATCCATCAGGAAACCAGGTGTTATTTGCCTTTATCTTCTCGGCAATTAAACTGGCGTGCACATGGATCAAAGACGCCAAAGGTCATAATTACGCTTCCCTGCACATGCAGAGGATGAGTGAGCACAGCAACTGTACCTTAAAAATCAAGCAGTCCTCTTGGTGCTCAGCATAGATGGAGGTGAGCCGGTACTGGTTCTCAGTGGTCATGTCAATCTGGTAGCCGATCAGCTTGTAACACACCTTGCGGAACTCCTGGATCTTGGCCTGGAACACCTCCTTCAAGCGCTGGTTTTTCAGCTCAGCACTCTCTAACTGCTTCTTTAGTTCTGGAAAAGAGTGATGTTTCTGGTTATTAGTTAAAGACCTTACTTCCACACATTCCTGTGTATGCACACATTCACACATGCATGCTCAGGTGAGAAGGAGGAAGAGAACCAGAAAGTAAAGCAGTAGCAGAAAGCTGGCCAGCCAGGTGAGTGAATTCAGTTCTCCTTTCGGTACAGCACCAAGGGAACACAAACTGGAGGCTGAAGGCACAGAGCACAGGCATTTCTTTATGGCAGTGGTTCCCAAGCTTGGGTCGGTAACTTCCAGAATCCTTCCCCACTAGCTGTGCCGGCTGGGATTTCTGGGAACTGCAACCCAAGGTCGGGAACCACTGCTCTATGGCCACCCCCAAGACCATTCCCAGGGAGGACCTTCATGTCTTCGCCGGTGTTCTTCTGCCGCGCTACCAATATGGAAACTGCCGGAGTGACATTCATTAAAAGGACCATGGGTTAATGTAACTCCTCTTCCAAGGTGTCTCAGAAAAGGATCAGACATTCCAGCCCACCCGTCCTTAGCACTGAAAGCATCTTAATGTTGGAGAGAGGTGATTCAGGCAGACTTCCATGAAACTGAGAGATCAGACACCCATGCTTTGGTTCTGAAGACCAGGCCCCAAATAAAGCAGGCCATGTGGCAAACTCTGGAAGCTGAGAGAAGCCCCTACTGTGATATTCTCACATAACTAAACTTTTAGGGATTTTGATCTATGGAGGGCAGGTTTTGCATGACCTCTGCTTCTGCCCTCAGTCTGAACCACTTTCTCCAACAGACCAGCAGTAGGAAGACTTGCGCCCTGCCAGGCACCCAGCCTCCACCCCGTCATGACTTCCCACCTGCCTAACCTGGTTACCAGCCGGTCTCCCTGAGGTCCATGACCATTCCCAGGGAGGACCTTCATGTCTTAGCCGGTGTTCTTCTGCTGCGCTACCAATATGGAAACTGCCAGAGTGACGTTCATTAAAAGGACCCCATGGGTTAATGTAACTCCTCTTCCGAGGTGTCTCAGAAAAGGATCAGACATTCCAGCCCACCTGTCCTTAGCGCTGAAAGCATCTTAATGTTGGAGAGAGGTGATTCAGGCAGACTTCCATGAAACTGAGAGATCAGACACCCATGCTTTGGTTCTGAAGACCAGGCCCAAAGTAAAGCAGGCCATGTGGCAAACTCTGGAAGCTGAGAGAAGCCCTTACTGTGATATTCTCACATAACTAAACTTCTAGGGATTTTGATCTTCTATGGAGGGCAGGTTTTGCATGACCTCTGCTTCTGCCCTCAGTCTGAACCACTTTCTCTAACAGACCAGCAGTAGGAAGACTTGCGCCCTGCCAGGCACCCAGCCTCCACCCCGTCATGACTTCCCACCTGCCTAACCTGGTTACCAGCCGGTCTCCCTGAGGTCCATGGCATTTGGTTGCCAAGCACTCTGTCTCCAGGGAATCTGCTGTCATGGGCTGGCTGCTGACCCACCCGGCCACCAAGTAGAATTCAAGAGGTTGGAAGACAGCTATCTAGTCAAAATACATTGGTACGATTTTCAACATCAACACAGACACACACAGAGACACACAGAGAGATCTGTTGGAGTGTAGCAGCAAAGCCATGTATCACACAAGAAGCAATGGGAAACCTAAGGCTCCTGCCTCAGTATAGATGCAGAACCAGGAAATGCAAACATGAGAGCCTTTTTAAAACAAAAGAGATATATGGACAGGTGACAGCACAGCCATAAGATCCACTACCTTGTTTATAATAGAGTAACTATTACTATTTTATGCCAAGTAATATCAACCACTCACATAGGAATCAAGCCAAAAAGAAATGCGGTTATCGAATTCCAAACAAGATAGAATCTTGAACGATTTTCAAATCAGAGTTTAAAAATTCCGGTCTGTTCCACAGCTGATTTTCTAGTTTTGATGAAATGGCAAACTAAGGCTAATGAGAAACTTCCAGGCTGATGACTATGTCCCTGGAATGAGAGGACTGGTTCATCTCCAGGCAGAGAGTTTCCACATAGCCCCACTTGCTACAAATACAACCAACATGAAGATTTATTAGTTAACAATGTATGTAGAACAAGTCATTACAGAACTAACCATCAATTGGGTGAGAGGAGGCTGTAATTTGCTTCTGATATTTCCAACAAGATGTAAACAATCACTGTTATCTCAGTCCAGGACACAACGATCATCTCTTTTATTTTAACAGCATGGAAATGCAGACAATGTTAACTAGCATGTGGAAATAAAGTAATGTTTTAAAAAAGATCCCGTGCATTTTGAAGAAAGACAAAACACAAGCACATAAACAGCAACATCTTTTCTTTGCACTGGGAGATCCCTGGTAAAGAAAACTCCCCAGAGCTGGCTGCCACTCAACCAGTGTTTTATTGCCACTAAGGTTGGCTGCCAGCGTTGTGAATCCTTCTAGAGGATACACAACAATTACCATGAATCTTTCACCCAAGGTGCTTTCTGAGTAATTAAACCACAATTTATCCCCCCATTAATTACAGAGCCGGGATTTAGTTAAATATATGTCGGAGATGCCACCTAAGTCAGCTTGTTTTATCAACACAGCTGTCCAGGGTAAGCCAAGAGACCGTTGTTTCCATTGCACACGGGCTTGCGGAAACCTCGAGCCTCTCCTCCCTCTTCCCCATCGAGACCACAGTGATGATTCAAGCCACAAGAGGGAACAGAAAAGATGGAAAAGATGGCTCAGATTAAATGCAGGTTATTTGTGGCTATTTGTGGTGTGATGCAAGCTTTAAAATTCTGTTTCATATGGTGCCATTACTAGCACTGCTATCTGTCCTCTTCCTAGAATGACAGAACTGGAGACCTGGAAGGGAGCTGGAAGCTGTCCAACTTCAACCATCATCCATGCATGAAGTCCACAGCTAGAGCAGCCTTTGGCATGTCATGCTTCAGCTTCAAAGGGAAGAATGTCCACAACCTTCCAAGGTAAGCTATTCCCTTATTGAACAGCTCTAACTCTCCAAAGCCCTTCATAATGTCAATCTCTCTTTGCTTGTAGATCAAACCCACCTTTTCCTATGCCAACTTCTGGAGCAGCCAAAACCAAGCTTGCATTGTCTTCCCCCTGAGAGGCTTTTAGACATCTGAAGAAGGATACAGCGTCACAAGTCATTTCTTCTCCAAGCTAAACCCATGAGTCCCCTCAATGGTTCCTTTTCGGGCTTAGCTTCCAGATCCTCCACCACCTTGGTTGCCCACCTGAGAACAAATTTATCTTGCTTTCAAAAAAAAAAAAGTCTACACACAGTGTTTTGAAACAAATCTCATTCTCACACACACACACACACACACACACGTGCATACATACAGGGTGCCGGATTGATGTCATTTTGTGTTTGTGTGAGTAAGGGTGTGGAAGAAAGGGGAAGAGAGATGCAAATGTGTCTGTGTCAGATTACAGAAGAGTGAAATGGATGGATGAGGCTGGGGGTTAGCATGTCGATTTTCATGCCTGCAATTGTTTCTGCAGCATAATGGGATTTAACGCACATTTATTAGGCACCCACAGGGCAATGTTCCCAAAATGTTTGGGTTTTTTTTTGTGTCTGTGTGTGTGTGTAAAGGAAGGAGGGGGGGAAAACAGAAGATAAAATGTTTGGAAAATAAATGACTAGGGGTGAAAAGGGGTGTCCCCTACCACTCTTCAATGGTAAAGACTCTTATTGACTCTCACCTGAAAAAATGAATCCATCAACATCTCTCCATCAACATGCATTAAATCCCATTATGCTGCAGAAACAACCGCAGGCATGAAGACAACAGGCTAACTCAGAGCCTCGTCCACCCTTTTGCTGCAAATTGTCAGGGTGCTGCTCTCCTCCTCTCATGTGGGGCATATTTATGGATACCAGCCTCCCCCTCCAGGTGTTCACACTGCCGAACGCAATGCTCTCCCCCAGAGCCTGGCCTAAAGCCACAGGCATCTCCGCCCAATTTATCACTGCATGAGACAGGCCAGTCTTTTCCTGGGATGGCTGTTTTTCCCAGCTGGCTCAAGCCCCTTGATTAATTGAGTAATCAGCTATTGAAATTGGAAGGTTAATTGGCAGCCCTGACCCCAATATTCTCCCAATTCCACATTCGTCTCAGCCATCCCTAAACCAGAATGATTAGGAATAACATCCCACACACGAGAAAGGAGGAGAAAACATTCAAAAATCCATCATCCATGTTTCAGTAGCAAACAATATTTCACCACTGCCAGGGACTGTGTAGGCTTTAATATATCTCAAAGGTTCAATTGGGATAGAGAGATATATAGTAATAACACAAGGCAGACTTGAAGGTGTAAACAAGCTTCGCTCCAGAAGATTCAGAATTTGCCTTGCCTGAATTTTACAAAAGGAGGGAGTAGAGATCGCCCTGATTCAGAGACGGTGTGACCATGGAATTAAATGCCACTTCCTGTTCCAGGGATAGCAAAGAACTGGCCATACCTTCGACTGTGGATGATGGGAGCTGTACAACAAAACCCCCTGCAGGGACTGCACATTCCTCTGCCATGGGCCAAGCATCCCCCCTCACTCCCTTTCTCTGAGGTTCCGTTTAGATGCAGAGATCTTGTCAAACGTCTCCCAAGAGAACTTGGTGTTGGTGTTGGTGGTGGAATTATCCACAATGCCCAGCGGACAGCTAAACTCTTAGAAGGATCTCCACGGAACGGCCTCGGACGATGCTCCAGAGTTTCCAATTAGGACAAAAGGTAGCCGTTTGGCCTTTGATGGGGTTACAGACCAAATAGAAGCACAGGGCCTGTCCTGTCATGCAGGCAGCCACCTTCCACAGCAGTTTTTGGGTATCACAGAAAGGCAGGGAATGGTCAATTATTCCATTTGTTCTTGTACTGCCTGCCCGAGTTTGTCCATGAGATTATTCAGCCTCCCTGCCTTTGTTTCCTGCTCTGCTAAATGACACCAACTGGCCCTGCAGGAGGACATCGCACTCATGGTTATTTA